TCCGACGTTTCACTCCACACGCTGGGAGCTTGTTCAGGAGCCGAATCCATCTTTACACATCGATCCGAACACCCGGTACAAGCCAAAACGACACGGCTCAACATTGTACCAAAATCATTACAAAAAGTGATTACTTTATCATATGGGTAGCAAATGTTTTGGCCCATGGCCCTCAATGTGTTTCTATTATAATGATGAAGTTAGTGCTCTTGACGTGTGTAAGCTTGGGGAGCTTGTGAGCAAAACATGCTCAGGTTAGCCTCGGTAGCTGTGAAGCATTTTAAATGTTTCATTAGCCAACAGCAATGATTAATTGGTGTCGAGGTTGACTTACGAGCCATGGACATTACGCCAACAAACTTGTTGTGATTAATAACGCTAATACTATTGAGTAAGCAGGGCCATTTATTTTATCGCCGGTTCATTGAAAAAAAAAATATCTCCTGGGAATTGCAGCCGCAGTGGTGCCACAGCCGAGCACCGTCAATGGCAACGAGCAGTCAGTCACCGCTGCGCAGAAAAAGCTGCGGATAAGCACACCTCGCATAAGCACAGCTCTGACGTAAGCAACACGTTCTTGCATTACACTGGTGGAGGGAAGGCGAGGGCGACTCCACACAAAAGCACAGCTGCCCTTTTTCCAGTGGCGTGTGCTCATATCCAGAGCTTACTGGACAAATTCGTTCAAACTTCCTTAGATGTAATAAAGTCGTCGCCACACATGCCCCCGTGTCCCATGCGTCTGCATGCCCACGTGGTAGTAATACACAGCTGAGGCATTGCTTTCATTACGAAATTACAGAGAGGATTTATCACCGCGCTACAGCATTGCGACTCAACCGTTATAAGGCTACGAGTGTGTTTATATTTATGCCCTCGCGTCCACGAGCCCGTGTATCCTTGGGCCCACGTCTTCACGCATCTGTGTGCTCCTGTGCCCCTTCTTGTGCTCTTGTATGCCCCTTGTGCCCACGCGCCCGCGTGCCCCTCGCGTCGTGGCGATGGCGCGCGGTGGCAGCGGAATCAGCGTGGGGACGGCTCGCCGTGACTCATGCCGTCGCTGCCGCGAGCGACGATTAGCTTCTTGCGTTGCTCTGCAACAAGCGTCGCCGCGTGGGCCCGTGTCCGTGGGCTCGCGGAAATAACAACAATAATTATAATCGTCGTTTCTCATATTTTTAACGTGACCTGCCAAACTGTGATAGCGTTGCATTTCATTAGTGTGCGTATGTGTAAGCGTGTGAGCGTATGTGTTCATGGGGGAAGTGGTAGTGTAGCGGTTAGCACGCCGCTCCACGAAGCCGGCGACCCGAGTTCGATTGTCGCTCACGGCCAACACCAGTGACGAATATCTCACCCATCTGAGGAGGATGATGATGCTGTTGATTAAAAAAAAAAGCGGTGAAAACAAATTTGAATACAAAAAATAGGAGCGCACCTGATACAAACAGGGATTCACTTGAACCACCGCAGTGAATAAATTAGCACGGGGACTGTGTTTAAATTGTAGCGTGAGATATCACTGCGATGGTGATGATGATGTCAGGGAGGGCATTTCAGACGCCTGCACTGAGCAACAGAAGACGCTGCCTCGTGCACTTACTCATGTCCTGGGCACTATACAACACGCATTATCATAAAATATTTTATCATGTGAACATAAAACAGGAGATCCAAAATAAGCATATCATTAAGTCCGCACAACACATTTCAGTGTCTCGTCTTGGAAAGCCTTTCGCCTGCCCCCTCGTAAACTCCACAAATTACCTGGGCCAGCGCGGACCCTGGTGCGTTTCTCGCCGCTATCGATTTAAGCAACAATTCAACCGAATTTTCCGTCTCCGTTGCGGTTCCCATAAAGAGGCAGCGCCCGTTTGCCGATTTATGGACTTGGCGAGAGAAAAAATTTTCATCTCGCTCCGCACGAAGCAAGAGGGGGGGGGGGGGGGAGGCCCGCACGTTCACGAACGAGCTGGCGGCGGCTCGGCCGGGCGACGGCTCGGCCGGACGCCGGGGGGCCGTGCGGCGCGGGGGAACGGAGGCGGCGCGTGGTGGGGTCCCCTCGCGCGCTATCAATCACCGGCACGAGGCCTTGAGCTCGCCGGGACCCCACGCGGCGGCAGAGAGACGGCAGAGTCTTCCAGCATGTTACTAATTGCCCCGTCAGGACACTAAAGAACCTCGGTGAGAATCTCACACCGGAGCGGTCGGGGAAAAAAAGGCCACAAATGTGTATTGTGCGACCGAACGATGTAACTACGGGAGCGGTTGTGACCGTGCGCGAGTGAGTACTTACCGCACGCTGTCGGTACTTGTCGGTACTTGCGAGCGAGCCGTCTGCCCTCTTCACGCCTCAAAAACTATAGCTCCGCTACGTCCCACTGACCATGCCAAACAAACGTACAGGGCAACGTCACGTATCCGACCGTCGCATTGCCGCCCTAATTAATTACCTGCCCACACCAAGTGGCAGGGGATGGTTGTATTATATATAATTTTAAATTATAATAGGAACGTGTTCCTAAGCCCACGCACGTCCGCTCACTTCTAAAGCACAGGCCGGCATTTCCCCGCGTCTGGTAACCTATCCGTGTTCTGAAGAAGCGCCCGCTGCTCGAAACGTCGCCCATTGTAAATGTACTTTATTTTTAAGGCCACAGTGTTATTGACGAACGTGTTCAAGTGTTCGCTATCTGTGTGTGGTAAATCATTGTCTATTCTATACACGCTCCACGAATCTGACCTTTCCGCTTTTCTGCCTATACCTTGGTCCCCAGATCAGACACAAACCTACGTTTGTGCTCTCATGCACTGCCCGTCACATGCTACATTAGCACAGTTGGCTACATACGGTGCGAAAGAAGCTCAACATACATACACACGTACAGCCCTACTTGTGCACAGATTTGTGGTCTGGAAATACTTTTGGGGCGAGTTCTGTGCACAACAAGCACCTATAAAGGTGGCGGGGGAGCGGAGGCACAGCGGTTAGCATGGCGCGTGATAAACTCGGTGACCCGAGTTCGATTCCCGGACACGGCGAACATCAGTGGCGAACGAAATTAGAACCCATCCTGCCCTCCACATTCCTCTTCACCACACCGCACCGTCCGGCGGTGGAGAAGTATGGTCAGAGCCTCCCCCGCCCCTCCCATGAAAGGCGTGGCTTGAGGAGGCCTTCATCCAATGGGGTGGACTGAGAGTGGCTGTATAAATGAGTAACTAAGAGGTAATTGTGGCGGGGGAGGAGTGGGGGATGGTGCCACACCCGGCCAACCTCGTCCCTCCTGTTGGTGGTGATGCAATTCACCATAGCGTGGTTATCTTAGGCTGAGTTAACCTGGGTGAGACCCAGGACAGGGTCAGACATAAAATATTGATAGCCACTGATGTGCACGGACAGCAGCTCAAGCACAAAGCTACCGACTCTGATTACATTATTATCCCCAGTGCACGCGCACACTCACAAATACACGTACACACACCGCACCCGCGCACTCGGACAGACGCAAAGAGACGCACACACGTACACGCACTCGCTCACAGGCAAGTATATGCTCAGATACTCATGCATTCACACAGACACACACTCAAAATACAAACATCCCCTGGATGGCCTTTAAAAGAATCGTAGCAGGGGCTGTGAGTGAGCCACCTGTAAAGGCCCTTCATTGCACACGATGCGGTCGATTGGCTAGTACCACACCCAGCCACCTTTGTCTCCCTAGTGCTAATATTTATGCACATAGCCAGGTAATAATATGAGGCTGAGTCCACCTAGGGGAGGCCAAGGACTGGTTTCAGACATACATCAACTCCAAGAATGCGGTGTTCATTCATTTACAAATGCGATTATCCTTGGTGCACAATACATCCATCATTATCCATGCTCTATGTGGTCAGAATTGGCCTATTCTATCTGTGATAGCATGGATAATCAATTATCAGGTCATCTCATCGCGTATCCGGCATGTAACCCACTGGGTTATCAATGCTAATAAAATAGCAATCGGAAACGATTTTTTTTTATCAACAGCACAACTTCTGTAGCGTACTCGTCATTACCATCGTCAGCAGGCGTGGTCGATCCACGGCAACTCTCTCTTGGTAATGCAGCAAGCGGATTCGCGAACGCGTCTGCGCGGCGCTTCAAGTGATATCCCCCGCCATATGTTTAGAGTTTCTCCTGGAATAGAAATGTTCTACCCTTCGTAAGAATCCAACGCAGAGACCCTCTCAGAAACGCGCCGCGAGGCTCTCCGAAGGTTTTAATGGACAAATCATTGCAAATGTTGCATTGTTATGAGTAATTCTATTCACTAATTTTTTTAGGGTGTTAACAATTACAAGTGTGGAATAGCAATGAATGAATCACAGGCCGACTGTGTAAAATTAAAGGTGTAAATGGCACACGGATTACCATTTAAAAACCAACCACAATTGATTCCAAGACCTTCTCATGAAAGGGAATATATCCTAATTCTTATTACGGAAAATAAATCAAACAAATAAATAAATCAGACAATGTGCGTTCTTCCAATATTTGTCCCTAAAATAATATTTGTACCCAACCCCATGTGCTGAATAGATGCTGCTGAAATGATGCACTCCCAGAAGGCCGTGTGGCTAATGGGCTTTGTACAAAACACATTCATAGTTTTTTTCTTTCCACGTGCAGGGCCATATTCTCTGCGTATTAATTTTGTGCATGTATTACGCCGACGGAGCCATGAGTTTATTACTTCACGAGAGGAATCGAAGATTATTCGACACATCGTTGGGCTGCGATGGAACACGCAGGGATATCTGGAACTGCTCCGTAGGTTATATTCTTAGTTTTTTTCGGTAAAGTCACGTTGAAGAGAAACAACAAAATAACAAAATATATATAAAACAATAAAAAATTCTCACGACGTTTCGACCATAACTCAAACCGTCATCATCAGGTGCTCCGTAGGTTTTCACGGCTGCTACATTCTGTTCTGTTTTTTTGGTTTCAGTCCCGAAAAGGCTCCCAGCACCCGGAGCGCGAACGTCGGACACCATGGTGAACAGCACTCGGCACAACCCCCAAACGCCTCGGAGAGCCACGGAAAGTTGCACTCAGCTGGTAAATGATTCCCCCTTTTTGCGTGATAACGTTGACAGCACAGACACAACACGACGACACATGCACCCAAACACGCGCTGGGCGACACGACATGCCATTGTCTGTCATTTGGGGGACGGATGACCACGGACACACAAATCTCGCCAGCTGCCACTGTGGTCAGTCAGAGCATTCGACTCACAATCGCAACGCTGCCAGGTCAAATTCTGGAAGGTGTTGGACACAGCCCATGATCCCTCGGAAGGTGTATAAACTTAGTACCACTTTTTGGGAACCCTATATGCATATGCCCTGTACTGTATCTAACATATAGGGGGTGGCCAAACGGTGGCTCGTGAGCCACGTGCAGTTCCCGGACAGTTCAAGCATGGCTCGACAGAGACACAACCATTCTTTTTACTTTTCAACACGACGTTATTTGAAACTGAAAATTTTTCTGCGGGCGCCCACGGAAGCAGTGGCCCCGGGGCGCTCCCGCAGATTTTTATTTATTCAAAACTCCACAGCCAAGCGGCACGAGCTGACCCTGCCACGTGACCAGCGTGTGCATATTGCGTCTCGTATGAAGATATTGGTATGTGGTTCGTGATGTCAGGAGGTTTGGCGGGACTGGTCGTATGGTGGAGACCGGTGCCGGTGTCCACTCACCGAACACCGGCTCGGCACCGCAAGAGGAGACGAACGCCGCCCCAGCGCTCGTTTAACCGCGGGGCCACTTTTGGCCAGAGTCACATCGCAACGAAACACGCTGACACGCGTGACCTCGGCGACCTGTTCCACCGCTCTGGTGACAGAGGTACAAGCAGCATCTTTGCAGCAACACCAACAACAGAAAAGGGAAATTCTCGAGGAAGACGAGTCGCGCCCCTTGACACAGACGACACACGGACAGCCAGGCATCCAAACTGCTCAGCGCTCACAGTTTGCTGAAACAGATCCAGAGAAGCGTCACTCCGCGTACGTTTCCGCGGCTGTGCCCTGCGGCTCACCGGTGCGTGGCTCGGAGCGACGCCCTCCTCCCCTTTCCGCCCCGAGTGTCGGGGAGCTTTCGTCTTTTTCTCCCCGGCGGCGCGCTGCCAGCGAAACGTCGGGAGAGACGACGTCAGAGCCGAAAACGACGCGCCCGTACGAAAACCCGACGACGCATCGACGCGCTGGAAAAAAAACGTCGAACCACCGCAACCCCCCCCCGCCGCCGGCTCAGCAGCCCCGCAGCCCTCTCCCACCTCGACCCCACCTGCCGCCCGTGAGCAAGTCAAGCGCCGCGCGCCAATCGATGCGAGACCAGCGGCCAGCATTTAATTACTCGGGGCCACACCCGGCCCGCAAGCCCCCAAATCGATCCGCATTTAAGCCCAATTAGGCAAGCACCCTCTTTCATTAACTCCGCAGACCTCGCAAGCCCCAGGAACCTTTTGGCACGTGTTTGTGAAGTAGGCGGCAAGGGAGGAGACGGGGTGAGGGAGGAGAGGAGGAGGGGGTTGGCTGCAGTGTCGGGGGGGGGGGAGATTGGGGAGAAGCGGTGTGGGGGTAAGGAGCGAACCGGCTTGTAATTCACACCCGAGACAGGTCTCTCACAACATGCGCTGGAATTCTCGGCCGGAACGTGTGCGCGCGGCAAGAGAAAACCCGGTTATATAAAGACTGTAAACAAACGCGACTCCTGTGGCCGTGGATGTGATTAACGCGAGCGCCGTGCGCCTCTCCATTTGAAGGCCTTTTGCCCGAGCCAAAAAACGATTTCTCGATTTTTCGCTCGAGTTACCGATTTCTAAATGTTCACTCACCGTGCAGATATTTTTTTTAAACGTAAGGGACAAGCGCGTTGGCGGCCAGTGCCAGCGCGACCGCCCACGGCGGGCACCCACGGGCACCCACGGGCCACTTCTGACGCTGCCCAGTGCCACCAAATTGCTGCGGTCTCGTGCAAAATGAACATCGCAGGTCTCGGGAGCTCACCTGCACTGCTAGGCCGTTATGTACCGGCACCGTTGTTTACACTCCAAATGTGAAAATTTCCACAAGTCAAAATAAACGCAGAGGCTAGGCTCGTCTCCCTTATAAACGTTCACCAGTCGCGCTCTGCCCTTTGCCTAAGTAAATAAAGTCCAATCGTGAGGCGAGGGCTGTGCGAACGGTGATCTCCCAAGGTAGAAAGGAGGTCGCTCCTTGTCTGGACTTCCCTCCCCATGTTCACGTGCAGCCTCAGAGCCTTCAGCCTCTCCTCCCCCTCCGGTCGACTCTCTCCCAGTGAAGTGCCTTCATTTACACCTTTACCTTATCATCGTATCATTTCCCTCTAGAGCTTCCAGCAAGCCACCCTCTCCAATAAAATCCATTCTCTTTAAATTATTTCTAATGCATGCCATGCGGTCACATGTAACCGATTTTTTATATATACACACATGTACGTATGCTTCAGGCTTTTTTCAATCCACTGCTGGATGGTGATGGCCTGCTCGTATGATTCCGGCCATGGTTGTTGCTTGACCGTACTTCACCGCGCTGGGCAATGTGGGTTTCCGAAGAGAGGGCGCGTCCCAGGGCCGGTTGGGATATGACTCGCAACCGATGTCCGCCGAGGACGGGAATCGAACCCGGATAGCCGGGTTTCGTGACACGGCGCACTATCCGCTGCACCCCGTTAGCTCGCCGTCACGTGCGGCTCAAATCCAGCAAAGGTCACCGAGCTGCTTATGAGCCAACTCCACCCGGACACTGCACGCACAGCAGAGTACGTCCGAACCGTCCGTGCGGCACCGCCTCCTGTCGGCAGCGGGAGCTCCGCCGGTGCCGCTGCGCCAGCTTCATCGCACGCACGTGTGGCCGGGTCGGGTGGCGCCGTCTGCAAGGCCCCCACCCCCCACCCCGCCATGCCCGCTGACCGGCTGCCACCCTGGTGCGGGCTCGCGTGCTGCTGTGGCCGGGCGAGACCCGCGGGCTCCGCTAATTCAGCCCTTCGACGACGTTTGCCAAACTACCGCGAGGCACTCTTGGTTCTCGCCGCCGCTGTGGTTCTAGCGAAGGCTCCGGTCCGGGCGGGTCGCAAATTTAAAGCGGCGCTCGACAGCGTCAGCGCCAGCGGGCAGACGGCCGCCGGTCGAGAGCGGGCGCCGTGGAACGTCTCCGCTCGGCGAAACTCGTTCCGCCGTCGCGCGTGCGTGCCACGTCAAGGAGCGCCACTCTCGTGGCCGCTGTCGTCTGAGCCGTCGCAATTATCCACCATTATCACACGCCAGCGCCTTCGCGAGAGTGGTTACAATTATCATTTTGGCTTTAAAACATCGCCGCAAACGGCCACCACGTTCGGTGCCACCGCCGCCACCGCCGGCAACTTGAACCCGCCTCGCCGTCGGCTCTCGAGCGCACAGCTCTCGTGGCTTGCATTGTCGGTCGGCTTTTGATTTTTTTTTTCTTTCAAAAAGCAATGGGGCCATGAAAGCATGTATTTTTGTGTAATACATTCAGCCGGCATGCATGCATTTTCTTAATAATAGGTGGACTCTCAGCAGGCTGGCTTTTCCCCCGTGTGAAGAACACTTTGATCTATGGCCAAATCCATTCGGGTTATGTAAGTAACCAGCTGTCGGGGCGGCCTCCCCCACGTGAATTAATGATGGCGATAGCGCTGTGGAACCGCGGTGCATTGCAACGAAGCCATTTCAACGCGGGGAGACGATCCCGGAGTGTCGGCACTCGTAGCCCGGCCAAGTGGCTTCGGGGACGGAGCGCAACGACGAGGAACGAAGGGGTGGGCGCGCACGACCCTAAATACACATCGGGCATTAGCAGCGCGGCGCGCTCGAGGCACCGTGGGCCATTCATGCTGCTCATTTTGTTTTAACCCCCCCCCCCCACCTGGAAATATTCGTGCGGGAGCGACAGCGCGGACTCCGTTCGGCTCCAACCACGGTGCGAGTTTCCCACGCTCTATAAAGCAATGCGGCGCCTCGCCAGTCGGCTACGACGTTGGCTAATCGAGAGCTTCGGCGGGGTCGTCGCTGGCGGCCGACGTGCGCTCACGTGTCCACAAACAACGCGGAGGGAGAGAGAGGAGCAGACTGCAGCCACGCGCAGGTTTGGTGCGGTACGAGACGGGCTGTACCACTGCAAAGTGTGTCACCAGACGGGATGTACCACCACGTGTCTCGTGGGCGGGGGGGGGGGTCGCGAAACGAATCTTGCTCTAAATCGTGCGGCAATTTATACTTTTATCATTATTATTGGGTTTTTTTTGTATGTATAAATAACGTTTTGCGATACGCGCGCCGTTAATTCGCCGCTATCTCCTCGTTTAATAATAATAATGATGATTTTGATTTAAAGCTTTCGTGACTGCAGGGATTCATATTCTTGGTTCTTTCGGTAAAGTCACGGAGAAGGGAAACAATAAAAAATAAAACAATATTGTTTCCCTTCTACGTGACTTTACCGAAAGAACCAAGAATATTAATAATAATGTTACGACGGAACGGCGTGAGCTCGCGCAGAGGCCGCCCCTCGCTGCAGCTGTCAGGGGTCTCACCCGACACACTCCACCACCATGAGGCTGCCCAAGTCGCGATCCTCCCCTCCCCTTCCCCCCTGTCCCTTAGCAAACCTCCTGTCCCATTACCTCCCTGTCCCTTAGCAAACCTCCTGTCCCCTTACCTCCCTGTCCCATTACCTCCCTGTCCCCTTACCTCCCTGTCCCATTACCTTCCTGTCCCTTAGCAAACCTCCTGTCCCATTACCTCCCTGTCCCCTTACCTCCCTGTCCCCTTAGCAAACCTCCTGTCCCATTACCTCCCTGTCCCATTACCTCCCTGTCCCATAGCAAACCTCCTGTCCCCTTGCCTCCCTGTCCCATTACCTCCCTGTCCCTTAGCAAACCTCCTGTCCCATTACCTCCCTGTCCCCTTACCGCCACCTCCCCCTTACCTCCCCCTCTTCTGTCCCCTCCCCCTTCCCTGTCCCCCTTCCTCGCTGTCCCCTCCCCCTTCCCTCCCCCTACCCCTTCG